AGAGAGAGAGAGAGAGAGAGAGAGAGAGAGAGAGAGAGAGAGAGAGAGGATGGTGGCAGGGGGAGGGTCCAAAAGTGGCTGGGATGGGCGTGGTTAGTTCTTAAAGTGTCCCAATGGAATAACATATATGAAGAGAGATACTGTTTCTTCCCCAAGACACTGAGAATTTGAGTAAAATGAAAATGATTGAATATAACAATTTAGATGTATTTTTCAATATTAAAATATTTATGGACAAAGTTTTTTGTTTGATTTTAAACCAATCAAAAGACTTAATTTGTAAATACCACTGACCAATACTTAATCATATTAAATCTAGAGTAATTCCACAAAGAATTTGACTGTGTCCTCTCAGGTACAGTCAAGTGACTTTTAGATGCTCATAGACAATACAGAAATGTGAGAGGTTTATTTATCTCTTATGACAGTAAAACTAAAGGGCTCATTTTGTGATTCTGGAGGAAAACTATTATTGTAATATAGATGATTTATCAAAGTGGGATCTCATATATCTCTGAACTTTTTGTAGCAAAATGATTTCAATTGAATTTGTTTTTATGATCTCATTAAAATGAAGGGTTTGAAATAAGAATCCTAAGGTATGTTGTTGCTTTAAACCATTTTTCTTCCATGTTTCCTACTTGTTGCTTTACTTTATTTTATCTATCCCATGTAACAGTTTGGCTGAGATGTACAGGTAAAACTTACTGAACTGAAAAATATAAAAGCACTGAACATTTTTAAAAGTTTTCAGAACAGCAATCCAAAATGTCATGGCTTGCCAGAAATTAAGATACACCTGTTGATCAGTGTTAGATGTTTATAAACATGAACTCCATCATACACAGTTCCTCCTCCTAGTAGTTCGGGGACCTCAGAGTGAAGCCCACCTGCTTGCCGTGACCTTTTCCAGCTTCTAGGAAATAAGGAGTCTCAAAATCTATAATAAAAACAGAATTGACTTGATTCTTCTAATATTGCCTTTTCTGAGGAAAGGATCCAATGACACAATTAATTCTTATTTTTCTTGTCCACAGACTTCGTATATCATTTAAGTGGATGGTTCGGGCCTTTTCTGGATACTTAGCTACAGATCAACTCTTGCTTTTGTGGGACAGAATCCTAGGATACAACTCTCTGGAAATTCTTGCTGGTAAGAGTAAGTGCTTGTTTGTGAAACTCATGCTGTTTCTACATGAAGCCCCTTTCCTGTCTGACACTTACCTACAGTCATTAGAGAAGGGTCTGCATTCATCACTGAATGTTTAATAGCTTGAGAAGGCCTAGAAGACAGGTTTTGAAGTTCTGAGCTTTGATACACCTACCTAACTTCCCTGCTCCAGTTGAGTCCTGGTCTCTGTGGGGTTTGTGCAGCAGATATACTTGCCTTATGCTCTAACCCCCAGCTTCAGACATTCTGTCCCATGCCCCTTCTCAGAGGCTGAGCCCCCTGCATATCTCAAGGCATGCCTCTTCTGGACTGCGGTTTATCCTGCATCCCAAACCTTTTCATTTTTGCTAGTAGTCTCTGTCTTCTACCCTGGTGCCAAAATTTCTTCTCTTAGGTATTCTCTCTTTAAAAGGTGGAGGGTGGGGAGACACTTCTTCTTTTGCTCAAGGAAGCCATAGATTCATCCATTGTTAATGATTAAGCAGTTTATACAACAGATGTATACCAATCACACTGTAACGTTCCACGTACAGATTCCTTGTGTGGTCTGCACCCTAGTGCACAGCTGACTCAGTTCTTTGTCACTAGGATTATTAGGAAATTCAAGTAACAACTAGGATATTTTTGCAACAACTTATGAGGTACAGAAAACCTGGCCATGTTTTGTTTGCTTCCTGCCTTTACTGTTAAAATCACCTTTCTGGGATATTGTAGCAATAAGAAAAATAATGTGCCAAGAATATTCTCTGGGCACCATATTAACATTTTCTGGACTGCCACAGGCTCATAGTATTTGGGTGACATTTGGAAAGGTGAAATTAGAATAACTATAAAGTACATGAAGATAAATGTCACCTCAGGTGCAGTCAGCCTGACATTGATTGATGCTTTAACAACTCCCAGCATCCTTCTGTCATTTTTCCTAACGCTCATATAAACTTGTTAGGGAAGAACAGTCTCCTCTCATCGTTTTCACTAAAGGACAGTGGCAGATCATCTAGGAATGCAGGAATGTCAGAGAGCATCCTGCAGCTTTTCAGACATTGCTGACCAACTGCCCTACCTACTGTACCTACTGCCAAGTCTGACAACCCAAGTTAAATCCCCAAGCCCCACGCGGTGGAAGGAGAGGACCGCTAGTTATCGTCTGGCTTCCGTATGCACACACACATATGTGAACACACACAATACATAACACAACTTAAAATTTAAAGTGTCCCCCTTTTTTTGAAGATTTTATTGGGGGGGGTACCCACAGACACCAGAAGAGGGCATCTAATCTCACAAAGCTAGAATTGCAGGCCCTTGTGAGCCACTCTGCCTGGGTGTTGGGAACTGATCTCAGGTTATATTAAAGAGCAGCAAGTGCTCTTAACCATTGAGTTATCTCTACAGCTCCAAATAGGCCCCTTTTAAACCAAGATGCTTTCATGGTTTTTCTGCTTTCAGTCCCCCATCTTTCGCTGGAGTCTTCTATTTTCCAGACTAAGCAGTCTGGTTTTCTGCTACCATTTCACAAATGTCTGGATTTTAGACTTCACCAAGCTTCTCTCTTTGGGTATACCCAAACTTTAAAGAGCATACTCCTCGGTTTCTGATCATTCCAGAGAAGACCGTGGGTGAGCAAGGTGTGAGAAGTGCTTTCTTGGAGAGTGATTGAGTAGCGTGAGCTTTGCCACCTGGAAAGTGGAAACGTTTTCTCGTGAAAGAAGCTTTGATTTAGAAAACTTTCAAGGGCTCTTCAGATTCCAGGTGTCCGGGTTTGTCCCTCATCACTGCCTTAGCTTAGAGAAAGGGAGAGAGAAGTATGTAGACTACTGGGTTTGTTTTCTACCAGGTACTCTTGTTAGTTCCGTGCATGAATTAAAACCGGACTGGCAAAGAGTTAGAAACTGATCCATATATTGCATCCACACACTTGCCTGAATGTTCTCAAAGCTTACAAGAATTTTAGAACATCTACAGATGAAACTGGAATGTTGGCGCTCCCAACCATGGAAAAGTCTATAATAATAGATCACTTCATGAAGAGATACACAGATTTCTATCAATTATGTCATATAGTTTTGATATAGGTATTTAGAGCCACCTTTTAACATGAAGTATGTTATTATAGAGTCTTAAAAAATCTTTTCATAAATATATCTGTCCTTAATTATGACTGGCAGACCACTAAAGAAGAGCTGAAGACAGAGGCATCTTGATGTCATGATAGAGTTTATTAAGATTAAAGTAGTGAGAATAGTTGTAAAAACCCAAAGTGAACACAGCCATTTCCACATTTCATATGCAGCTTGACTTCAGTTAAGGATGCTCCAAAGTATAGCTCCTCTCTCCATGGCAAGCCACTCTGTTCTGTACAGAGGGGCTGGACAAACTCAACATGAAGCAAGCAGAAAGGCACTTGTGTGATGTGACACCAGGATAAATAAAGGCTCTGCGCTCCCATCTGGATGCTGAGTTCAATCAGTGGACTCCGCTACCTTCGGTCGCACAGCTGGCCACCATCTAGGACTCTTTCCTGCTGCAGCAAATATTTGGACATCCTGTCAGACTTTCACAGCTGCTCAACTATATACAGAAATGAAAGTGGGAGTCATATTTCTTAGCCTCTAAAGTGTTTCCACTGTCCAAAATATGATTCCCGATAGTGGGAAGCAGTAAACAATTGTTAGCCTACAGAAATGGATTTAATACTCTTGTAAACATCATGTTCCATGACTTTACATTCCTTTTTAACTCTTTTCAGTTAAAGAGAAAGAAAGCCCTTTGATCCAGATCTCTTAATCCCTTTTTTCAATTTTAATAGTTCCAGCTGATTCTTTTTAATTTATCTTCTGATTATCCCTGAGTTTTCTACAGGGCTTTCTTTTTTGTCTAATTATAATGGTCTTGCCAGACATCCCAAAAGTCTCTCATCTGCACGCAAAATGCCTGAGCTCCCCTGGTTGCACTGCTCCTTTCATGGGTGAGCTGGAGACCTGGACAGCAAGCGCCTGATATCCACTCCTCAAGCACAGCCTTCCTATCAGGGCCCTGGACCACCACAGGCCACGTCTGGAGAGTCTTCTGAGGCACTGCAATGCTGACCCTCCCTAGGAGAGCACAGTCTCTGATGTCAGGGCCGAGTCCTACTCCTTGCCTTTGAACTCAGTAGGGAAGTCATACAAGGCTCTCATGCACAGGGCTTAGAACCAGGTTTAAGTATCAGCTCTGTTTCTTCCTGTGACCAGAAACATGACAGCCAGCTCACCATGCCTCAGTTCCTACACTAGCAAAATGGACCGGATAATAGCACTTAATTCTCAGTGGACGACGTGAAAATTAACTGCCATGGTTTTTCTCATAGTAAAATCATATAAAAAGTTTGTGTTGCATATTATGTAATGAACCTGAGAACTAGTCTTCCAGATCATGTTTACCTCCCGCCTCAGTGCTCAAAGGGTAGGGAGTGCAGTACCAGCTCAGACCACGGGGGAAAGTGGTAGAGTCAGGGGTTCTGTCCAGGCAATTCTATTTTCTCACCAGGGTTGCCTGTCTAGTAAATGGGTCCTCACTGGCTTGGAGTTTCATGGTCACTCCTATACTGATAAACAGTGCATGCTTGCCTGGCCCTTCTTGTGTGTGTTTAACAGAAACAAATGGTCCCAATGTTTCTACTTAGTGTCTGTTACTAAATTCAAATTGTCTATATACTTTTGAATTTTCAACTTATTTTTCTTGTAGCTAACATAGTAAATATCAAGATTAGCCCTACAATGGCCTTCTGCCATTTAGATAGCTCTTTGAAAGTCAATAATGAGTACATAAAGATATAAATATAGCAAGATATTATAAATCACTTTTAAACGGCTTTACACCCATGTTTATATTGGGACACCTCCCTCAAACACATGAGTTTTTAAAATTTAACTTCATGTGACTTTCCGAGGCTTCTCATTTTCATATACTAGAAATATCTGTCAAAATGAACTGACTTGAAAGACCACCCTTAGAGTGCCATGCACTTCAACAGTTATGGTGCTCGTTGCTGGTGTGAAGGAAGTCATTTGTTTATAAATGACTTTTTGAGACCACCCAATTTTCCTTCCCCCAAACTATGGGACTCACTCCGTGAAGTGGCCAGGCGCTGTTCTCCAGAATAGATGTCCCACTTACGATGCCTCCTGAAGGCAGAGGGCAGGAACAGCTGCGCTGCACACTCCTTCTGCTGTCTGCGGTGGCTGTGGGCAGAGCATGTGTGTCCGGGCTGTGGAGGAGGCCAGCAGTTGAAATACTGTGCATTCTTTTCCAGTGCTGGCAGCTGCTGTGTTTGCTTTCCGAGCAGTGAACCTGATGGAGGTGACATCACTGGCCGCAGCTGAAGTAAGGATACGTTTCACTGCCGTGGGATGGAAATAGCTCCCGAGAGGCCGCCAGGCCCTCGCTCTAGTGTCTGCTGCACAGGACACTCACTTCTTGTAGCTGAATTTTGTAACTCGGGTAAAACCTATAAATTCTGAGTTAAGTATTACTAAGTGCTCAAATTTCCCTAATCACTTGAAAACAACCTTCTTATGAGGGGCCATAAACAAGATTATTTCAGGAAACCATTATGGGAAACCAAATACCTAGTGGGTTTAATGGGAACCTAGAGTATACTTTCTTTGCCCGTGTGTTACAAACAGTAACTAACACTAACTGAAAGAGTTAAATAGTAAGTGTTTGAAGGAAGTTCTCACCATCCAAGCTTTGGGTTCTTTCCTGTCATCTCTGTGTATTTTGTCCATTTCAGAATTCAGTCATGATTCTTGCTGGTGCTCCACCATATTTTCTGTTTGTGCTTCTTTTTTTCCTTGGCAAACTTTTATATAAGTGTGTAGTGAATTTTGGTCAATTTCGGCCACTGTCTCATCCCTGTCTGTCTCTTGATAAAATCCTCTTTCCCATTAATTGATACCCATGCTTCCTATCCCCCTCCCCCACTGTGTAGGTGTGATCTTTGGGGTTTAATTAGGGCTGCTTTCGTGAGCTTGGGTATAATATTATTTACTGAAGCGTGATCAACTTATCAGTCACTGCACCACTGTGAAAATGAGCCCCATTCTCCATCAGCCGTTAACTATTGGGAATTCCTCCAGACCGTGAGGACCTGGTGAACCTCTTCCCCATGCAGAGTGGAGTTTTCACAGGCTTAAACTTGTGTAGGCCTCGTGGAGATAACCACAACTGTGTGATTTCATAGGGGCAATGGCCCTGTCTTGTCCAGAAGACACAGGCTCACAGCCTCCTACCCAGTCCTCTGCCTCTTGAGTTTTTTTCTGCCCCTCTTCCATGATGTTCCTGAGCTTTAGTGGAGGACTGAGCACTTGACAATCACCTCTTCTCAGACTTTGACCAGTTATGAGTTTCTGCCAAAAAAAATCTTCTCAGATGGGAGGCTCAGACTAGCACCAATCTATGGTGCAGGAGCCCATGGGATAGACTATTTGCAGTTTACTCTTGTTGGGGGAGGGTGTCAGTCTTCTCTGTGGTGTAACCACTGATAAACTTTAAAGTTGATTTCTTTCAGTGGTAGAGTTTATACCTGAGATATGGTTCAGTTAAATAGTGCCTGCCATGGGACTGTGTGTGTTATTTGTCCTTCAAATAGCCACCTACGTGTTGTGTTTAAAGGGAAGAGGATGCTTCTGTGTCGTGCAACTGAGTAAATACTAGCCACATCTCAACATGATTCCCGCATCAGTCACTCTCTACACTGGAGTAACGGGTCTAGGGTTCATAATGGAGGTTTATTAATAGAACCAAGCTGAAACGCTAGACCTTCTATAAACTCCCGCTGCCTGTGATGTGAGGAAAGCGCAAGGCTGAGCTCAGTTCTCTTCTTATGTGCATTTTAGATTGTGCACATGTTCAGAGATTCCAAGTAGGAAGTGTAGCCTGGTGAGAGACTGAAGCCAGCAGAGGAACTGAGAGGGGCTCGCCGCCAGAATCACCCCAAACGGGGGTTTATGTTGTGCTTGATTTGACAGACTTTGGTGTTAATAATTTCTTTCTTTTTTTTTTTGTTTGTTTCAGGCAGTTCTGGCTGACCTTTCTACTTTAAAAGTTATGCCTCTTCTACAAATTTTTCTGTTTGCCACTGTCACCTGATCGTCGAGGTCACTGACAGCACATCTAGTTTTTCATTAGAAACTAATCATGAACTATGCAAACTCTGCATACAACCAAAATTAAACGTTGCATATAAGCCAATAAAGATCATGTTCCCTCCTCAGTTAAAGCTAAGAAGTTTTTCACTTTTTGAAAGAATAACCCTACACACCAAATACCGCGCTTGCATGCTGATGACTGTCACCAGAGAAGCAATAGACATCTCTTCTACTGAACTGAGCATCCTACACGCACAGATCCCTTACCTGTAACGGGCACATACCATATGCAATAAGAACTAACGGCACTATAATAAACGTCAGGAGGTAGCACAGCTTCTTGTTGATTTGTAAACTTCTCCCTAGATATAGTTCTGTTTTATCCATTGCTCCCCGCTAAAGCCAATGATGGGATAGGACATGAAAAGCCTTGGAAACAATCGTGCATTTGAGTGGGAATTCAATTGTGCTTTGGTACTTTTTTATTAGCTTTTAATTTATGATGGGTTTTCAGATCTTTCCACTTTATTTCTCCATTAAACATCTCCATTTGGAAAATTTATACAGATCTCTCCATCCCATACTTTTTGGGACAGTTTTATATAGCCCAGGCTGTTCTCAAACTTACTGCAACAGAGGATGACCAAATTCCAGATCCTCCTGCCTCCATCTGCCAACTGCTGGGATTGCAGGTGTTTCACGCCACTGTCTCCATCTTATAATATTTTATTCTTCACGGCGGAAGTCAGAAACGTATAGAGGGCTCCCTTTGCACTCCTAACCTTACGCCTTTCACATCGAAGCCTGGACACTGCTGAGGCATGATGCCAGAGTCTGTTTCCTTGGAAGAATCCAAGAAGGAAGGATGAAAACCACATTGGCTATGCTGAAGCTCAGTCCTTCCGGATTGATTTCTGAAGCAGAACAGCTCAGAGACACCACAGGTGTTCGTTCATTCTAGAACTGAAGCCAGTATTCAAGGGGTTGGGTCTTACTTAGTGTTCATTATGAGCAAAAGTTTTGTTTTGTATTTCTTTAAAGATATACCATTTCCGTATATGGAATAATAGGATGTGAAAAAATATTATCTTCTAATTTTAGATGAAAATTGAAGATGCTGATCACTTTAATAAAACTCAAATAAACCAATAGATTGATACTCTCCTTATCTGAAACTTTATTAAATCTCATCAATGTATCTTAGGAATCTATTATTTTCACAGCATATCTTATGAAATTCAACATAGTAATTCAAGTGTGGAGAAATTAGATTAGATATGAAGAATTTACTGAACAATCTAAACTTTTATTCATCAGGTGCTTGCTGACTTACTGAAGACTAAACAATTTGCTGTGATTGTTCTTAACAAACCCACATGTTGTTGTTTTTGAAAGTGGCACATTCGTGTCATATGCCTTGCTGTTGTGCATGTCCAGATGCACCTCCATGGAGGGGACACACATGATTCCAGGCCTAGTGCCCCTCCCTTTGCCACAGTGGCAAAAACATTAGGAAACAGTTGTGTTTAAAATGATTGGTAGATGTATACAGATATGTCCATCTTTAAACTTTGCAAAGATACCCTTTCATTCAGTGCACTTGGCTCTAGCCAGTAGCTCTGAATCCTAGTCCCAGACCAAAGCTGTTAGGTACCTTCCCACTCTGCCACTCTGGCAACCCCCCTCAAGCTGCTCTTAGCTGCTGTGAAGCTACAAAGAGACAATCAGGTCATCCTCCTACTCCTAGCAGGGCCTCTCCAGACCATCTCACTCGGCTTTCTTCCACTGGCATCCCCTGTGGAATGCCATCTCCGATCAACCACCAACGCCCCCTTCCCTTCTGCTCGGCCAGTGACCGCAGTAGACTAGGGGTGCCGTGCTATGGTCATGGGCACAGAAAGCAGCTTCACAGGCAAGTTTTTTTTTTTTTTGGTTCTTTTGAACTGAGTCCACTACCATGCACCATGGCTTCGTGTCTGGAAGAGCCTGTCTGACCATCTTTGGATCAGGATGTTCTGCTACTGCAGTTTCCTGGCTAGCCGAAATGCCCAGCTTGACTTAACTGCCTAGTGCCTCCTGCTCAGCCTGGACTCTCCTCCCATTCCACAGGGAGAAGAGAGACCAATAAGCTTGGACCTTCTCTGCCCTCCAATCCAAAGTTTAGTTCAGTCCTCATACTTCATTTCTTCCTTCTTGTCTCAAGAAGTCTCTATCTCTATAGCTCTCTAAATGCTGATCCATTTGAGGTATTTCTGTGCTTACAAAGTTTGACTCCTTGTTGCTTAAAAGATGTTCATAAGCATAGGACAATTCCTTATAACCTGGCCTTTCCATTTCCTTGTCCCATGATGAGCCATTCCCATGCACCTCAACCTCAGCAAATACATGATGATCTTCAGCCACTTCTGACTGTTTTGTTCATTTTACCTCTGCATCAGGAACTCACATATTCCAGGCCCCACTCAGAAAAACTCCTCTGTTGCTGACACATGCTGGATCCTGCACATTAGAATTATTTCTGTATCTTTGCTCATCCATTTATGTGCTTGCAATAGTGGGCATTCTTCAGGCAACTGGCATTAACTTCCTGGCTGCCCAAATCATAAGAAGAGATTGTCTACATGTTTTTGCATGTCTTGAATTGTTCCAAAATGGGATATATTTTTGTTAAACGCAAATGTCTAGTCTCCCTTCTTCCACAAAGGCTTCTCATTGCAGGTTGCCTCTTTTCTATGTGCTTCAGGCCTCACGGAGTCCTACCCCCACGGTCTCTGGCCTGGTCAAGCAGTCACATGGGCCATCCCACTGGCCACCGAATGGCTTTGAGATCAGCTCAAAGTCTATGACCGGTGAAAGCTTGTGACACTTGGTTAGAAGACTCTGGTTTAAACTTTCAGGGAAACTGAATGTGAGAAACAATATGATCACATGGAAAGAAGAAAAGCTGCTCTCGTTCCTTGTGGATCCTCAAAACGCGGCCCAGTAGGCTCCATGGACCCTTTGTACATAAGCCAAAGGATTTTTATTTGCAATAGAAAGGATCCTGACTTCCATGATTACTTTCCTATGAGGTTTGAGACCCAGTAGGTGTAGAAACCTCATCTACACACTGTTCAAACTGGCGTAGAACTTCTAAACGTCTTCAGTCAAGGCAAAACTGTGGCCTTATGAGGATAATGCCTATGTTCCGTGCCTACCTGATATACCTTACAAGGGTCTTTGACCTTTGTCCTTTTGTCATATAACTCCATCGCTTCCAATGCTTTCTCTTCTCTTCTTACCTGACTATAACTTGTACCTCAGAACCTAACTCAGGTGCTGCATCATCAGGAAGACGGCTCTTCATACTCTAAATCAGCCCAAGGCAT